ACAAAAAACTTTGTAATCCTTAATATAATACAAACTTGTAGTATGATAAATATTGTTATTCTTAAAATATTGTATAATATATTGTTCTACGTATCATTTCAATTCATTGAAATTGACTTTATTATAAAAATTATTTGTCTAACCATTGTATACTTTTAATCAAACTAAGTTATATTTATATTGATTGGTACCTCTTGCTTATGTTCATTTTATTACTAGCCAATAGTCACATTTCTGTAACCATATGAAACAACTCAAATATTGTACACATCTGAAATATTTAGTCAGCAAATTATGTACATTCTACAAACATAAATGTTACCTCCCTTCCCCTCTGACTATGTTTACCTACCTTTCTCTATTTGAAAAAGGACAATTGGGAAATCCTCCCCCCCTGACCTTTTCACTTACCTACCAAATGTGTCAGTACTTGAACACCCTCAGTGCTCAAACCACGGTTAGTAAGAGAAAATGTTACAACTTTGTATAAATGGATAATATATATATGGATTATTTTTTTAATTTTTAGTTTGTATAACTATTTACATATTTCATTTTTAATATGTGTATTGCAATATTAGTTAAGATTCATGTACCATCACTCACTATAGTTTGTTATTTATAATTAGCGGTCGTATGCTATTATATCTCTGATTGTATTTTTAAAAAAATTTCAACCCTGAAGATGAACCACATGTTTGGGTTGAATCGTTGGCATAAATAAAAAATATAAAAAAACTGGATCCTGAATATTTATCACTCTTTTAAATAATAATAATAAGGCTTAGCAAACCCGAAGGTTCGATGCTGTTACCACCAATCAATGTCCACATTATTCCATCCACCGTGCTCCGTCTGAACCCAATCCCGCCAAAATCAGCCTTAACGCAATCTACCCACCTTCGCTTTGGTCTACCACTCGGACGCTTGCCTGTCGGTACAGCGCATTTTAATTTTTTAGGAATTCTTTTGTTGCTAAGCCCAGCGATTTTACATGCCCATTTTATTCGCCTTAACTTAATCACCACAATTATATTAACTGGATACATTTCACGCAATTCAACATTGTGTAACCGCCTCCTCTTCAATTTAATTTTTTCTAGTTATCGTAGACCCTAGATACCTAAAATTCTTGTACGTGTACAAACACATTCCGTTTTATATCGGTATCATCGAAATTGTCACTGTTTTTGCAGCTAACCATATATTTTTTTTATCCCTATTTATCTCGAGTCCTAGCTCTTTACCAGCTTCCATCAACATTGTTGTATTTAGTTTTATTGTTTCCATGTCTTCGCTTAACTGTACTAAATCATCAGCTTACCCAAGCACGGATATTGTTTCACCCAGGTCCAAACCTTTTTTAGTATGTATCACCTTTCTAATGGCATGTTCTAATGCCAAATTAAAAAGCACAGGTGAAAGAGAATCACCTTGTTTTAAGCCCAAACGAAACCTCAAATTTCTCGCATAAATAATAAGGGATTATAACTTTATTGAGTGTTTTAGTCAAGCACATCCAAGCTAGATTCACTAATTTTTTGGGAATCCCCTGCTCGATTAAAACATTATATAGTTTCTGGCGGTCAATAGAATTGTAAGCCTTTTTGAAATCAATATACAGCTGGTGAATAACACCGTTGTATCCTAATTTTTCTCTAATATTTGTCGTGATGAAAATATTTGATCTATAGTCGAACGGTTCCTCCTAAACCCACATTGGTAGTCTCCGATAATTTCCTTGGCGTATTCCGTGATTTAATTAGTTATGATTAACGTGAATATTTTATAATATACCGGAAGGAGTGAAATTCCTCGATAGCTATTACAATCCGTCCTTGGGCCCTTTTTGTGAATCGGAATAAGAATGGATTCTTTGTATTCTTCAGGCAATTTCTCATTCTCCCATGTCTTTTTAACCAAAAAATGTATTTTATAAACTCTAGCTTCCCCGCATGCCTTAATTAGTTCACTAGGAATATCATCGGTCCCCGCTGCTTTATAAGATTTTAGTTTTCCGATAGCTATTTCAACTTCCTCTTTACTTGGTTCTTCTATTAACGGTTATTTTACTTTTTTCCAAGACACATGTTTGTGGCTTCTTTAATATTATCCTTGATCCCTACTCATAACTTATCTATATCATCGCAGTCCTCTTCAGAAGGTTTTAAAGCTTCAAACCTATTCTTAACTTCAAGCTCGAATTGAGTTCTAATCAATGGATTTTTTAATTTTTCCAAATTAAAATTCTTGGAATTGAAACGGTTTTCTTTTCTCTTTTTTATATTAAGTTTTTGCCGTGGTTTCTAATTCTAATTACTAATTCATGATCTGACTCACATTCTGCCCCGCGATTAGACCTTACATTAATTATACGAGTTTGCCACTTATGTTGTATCAAGACGTGATCAATTTTATTTCGAGTTTGGGAATCCGGTGATGTCCAAGCATATTTGTGAATATACTTATGTTTAAACGTAGTACTTTTAATTATCATGTTTTTTGAGATGGCAAAATTTATTAGTCGAATTCCATTATTACTATATTCGTGCAAACTTTCTTTACCGATCGTCGGAAAATAAACTTCTTCCCTTCCCACCTTTGCGTTAGCGTCATGCAGCTTCGCGGTAGTTTATCATATACCCACTCCAGTTTATCATAATATTCGCATTTGGCTTCGTCATCACTGTCTTCAGTCAGGCAGTGTATGTTTATCAACGCAATTTTAAACCAACACCCCTGGAATATGGTCACCGAAATCCTATTGCTAAAGAATCTTACTTCTCTCAAAGCGGATAGAAATCTATTCCTAATAAGAAAACTAGCACCTAAAGAATGATTTCCACTTCTGTACCACAAAGTGTACTTACCTTCCCTTAAAGATCCCTCCCCTGGCCAACGAACCTCTTGCAATACCACAATATCTAAATTGTACCCATTAACATCATTTGCGACCAATTTTAACTCATCTGCTGTATTCAAGCTAATTACGTTCCACGTCGCTGTACTTGAATCTCTAGTTTTCAACTTATGCCAAGAATCCCCTAAAGTCTTCCCCATCCGGAGACCCGAACGGGGGACTAGTTTGCTTCTGGATAATGAGAGTTTTACTTAATGAGGATCCATGATTGTTTGGTATTTTGTGAAGTATAAATATGTGAGTAGGGCGTTCAATCCTACGTTACACCCTCCAGCAAGTCTGGAAGGTCCCCTCCTCCAGCAAGTCTGGAGGACCTCTCTAATTGTTGGTCATCGAGTCCATCAGACCTAGCCTGGAGGACTTTCCGAGGAATTTCCACCGACCATCCCCACATCTGCCCCCCATGGGACGCTACCCTGCGCGGTAATGTGCCTGAGCGAGGATAACTTAAATATCAATTAAATTTTCACCATGGATATTATAGAAAATAGTTTGATTTTTTTTAAACTGTTATAATGATTATAAAATCTTTGAGAAAATATAATACCAGAACTGGATTAGGGATTGAATTAGGGGCGGCCTATATATAAAATATTACATCTTTGAACTATTATCTAAAAAAAATCATGTTGATATTAATTTATGAATAGTTGGTTATCCCTTTAACGATGGTGGACTCATATATGAGTTGAAACGACATTGGACCCAGGTGGTGATGGTGGATTCATATATAAGTCGAGAGTCTCTTGGGCATTTTCTTGCTAGAGAACGGGGTGCTCAGTGATCAGTCATACTTTAAAACTATCGCAGCCTTCCCATGAGGCAGTAGGTAATTTTTCTGTGAAATAAAGACTATGGTCTTTTTTGAACAATGTCTTAAACAAAAATATTTAAGTGGTCAGTAGAGTATTCTCTCCTCAAGGACGCTCCACCCTTCCAGCTCATTGTTGCTAAAAGGTTGAAGGTTGAAAATCCTGAGGGAATACAGCGTCGATCAAACTGTACGGAATGGAGACAATGTTCTTTCCCAGTTTGGAGAAACTGCTGACAATAGAAAGAAGGATTCTTAGAAGAATCCATGGGCCCAAAATAACACCAGAAGGATACACGCTGAAATCCAATAAGGAAATTTACAGTGAAACCTCTGATTTGGAAAGGGAAATGAGGGTAAGAAGATTTAGGTTTTATGGAGACATGCAAAGGATGACCGAGGAGAGGTTAAACAAAAAGATTTTCAGTAGGGTTATGGGATACAAGTTTAACCATGGATATAAGGTACAAATAAAACAGGAAATACAGAAGCTTGGGATAACACGGGAATTATGTGAGGATAGGACAGAACACAAGAAATTCCTGAAAAGTGCGGTGCATCTGGTGGACAGTAAGGAACTTCTGTCCAGGAGGAAGTGGACGGAGGAGAGGAAGAAAAAAATTAGCGATATCCTCAAGCAGAGATGGGCAGAAAGGAAGAAATTGAAAAAGAAACTATTTTCATAGTCGCGTAGTCCTTCAGGGCTGTTTCGCGTCAAATAAAATAATTATATATATATATATATATATATATATATAATAACCTTAGGAGTAATTACCTATGTAAGTTGACAGGGAAATGGGGAAAGATAAAAAACAAAATTTTAAATGATTATAGGCTATTGTTTTAGAAGGCGGAAAATATTTGAATATGTGTTGCAGATCTTTTCTTTGTCTACTTTATGGTTTACAAAGTTACATTGGTGGTATTATTTAATTATTTATAATTAGCAGTCATATACTACTATATCTCTTGATTGTATTTTTAAAAAGTTTTCAGCCCTGAAGATGACCCACATGTTTGGGTTTAAACGTTGGCATAAATAAAAAAAAATTTAAAAGACTGCGTCCTGAATATTTATCACCCATGATATGTAGAACAGTCAACAAACTTCCTTCAAGTATTATTTAAAAGTTATAATTTAGATTTATTACAATATGATCAGTGAACAATTATAATAACATTGTAAAATTTAGTAAATGTATTTTTTTTTATCTTCAAAGGTTAGTAAATATATTTAAAAAACAACACTGTTTTTCTAATAATTACCTTCTTGAACCTTGAGCAAATTTGCTTCCACAAGTCTTTTAAAATTGCAGCTTGATTATCCCTTTCCTGGAATGAAATAACTCAGTGTAAATTGAAAAACTCTGTAATCATAGGTTTATTAAGTCTTTAATAATAGATAACACAACAAAATAATTAGATTGAGCAGAGGTTCAAATATTAGGTAAGTTTAACTATAACAATTGAAATAAAGAAATACAAATTAAAAAAAAAAAAAAGGAAACTACTTTTAATCCATTCAGTGCCATTAATACAAGAATAGTATCGAGTTTACAGACATAAGAGCAGCAGCAATGGATACCCAGGAAACTGTTGCATCAATGTGACAGAATGAGCTAAGGTAATCAGTTAAACATTGAACCTAATATATTTTTAAAAGACGGGTTTAAAACAATGGTATACAGAATATAAAATATGATTTCTTAGTAAACATGACTTCATTTCAATATGAAACCTCAAGGATTCATAAGTTCAGGTGTCCACCACCTAGTGTGCAATAAAATGTGGAAAAAGTAGTCGCAGCCTTGAGATATTTACTCAGAACTTGTGTCACTTGTTATCTTTAACTTAATCACATGCCTCATTTAATGTTGAAATGCCCTTTTCTTGCAACATTACTTCTCCTGTTTACTTATTGATGAATGAAAGCATAAATATTTATTTATTATAAATATTTATATATTAAGATTTACTGTCAATTGGTTTAAACAATATTGTTATTCTCAAGGGACCTAGTCCCAGAATAAAGATGATTTTTCTATTCTATTTCTATTCTATAATAAATATCAAAAGGTATATATACATTTTTGAATATCTGGATTTTTGAATATAATGAGCATTTTCGTTAATCTTGATTAAACAACAAGACATAGAGATTCTTGGAGCTGGTTTTATGCTATGGCATGCTGTCACTATCATTTAGTAAATGACTATTTTACGGTTGAAAGCTGGGACAGATTTTGTCCAAGCATTCACTTTGATCGTTATATAGCAGTATTATATGAATTTGACATACTTATTATTTTTAATATTTTTATTATAAAGAAAAATAATTCAAGGCAGTGTATTCATAGCATGAATTGTATTTTATATAATTATAGGATGTCAGTTTATTGCATATTCTTAGATTACATTTATTTAATGCAGTTATACTCTTTTATTCCAATGTTAAGATGAGGCTCTGTTATTATTTTTAGTACCTATTATCTGTGTTGTTACTTATCAGTAAAAACATAATTAATTTTCAGCCTAAATAAACACAGCATAAATAAAAAATACAATGAATATCTGAATCTCAAATAATAAATCATACAAGAACTTGGTGTGGAATGTGGCCAAGTTCTTTTCTCATCTGATACAGGGAAAACCACAAATGATTACTTTTAATTTTGGCTGCAGGGAGTTAATATCAGCAACAATATAACAATTGTCAACAATGAACAATTCAGATTAGTAATACAAGGTGTTTCAGTGTTAAATGGCCAAACTGTAAAAATGAACTAAGGAACCCAAAAAAAAGAAAAAAATATCCTCTGAAGGTATGTCTGCAAACGCTTTGTTTAGAAGATATTCACACCTAAAGGTTTTTGTTGTTATGAATTATTTACGTTATATGGAATAAATAAAACCTATTTATTTGTTCTAACTACTTTATGAATTAAATGTAAACATTAATATTCATATTAAATATTGTTCAATGTGAAGGTATGTCAGAAAACACTTTGTTTAGTAGATGGATTAGATAGAATACTAATATGGCCTTTTATCCCTAACTGTATAAAAACTATTGGCAACATAAGGATTAATACTATTTGGAATTAGCATTGGGAACTCTCAATAACATTTATCAGTTTGTAAGAGGCTTTCGCAGAGTACTCATCATTATACCTTCCATTTATACTAATGGTGAATATGCTGATATAGTGTTTGTATACGGTTTTTGCAATAGTAATGCTAATGCTGCCCATCGTTAATATGCCAGGCGATTTCCGAATAGAAGATTACCAAACAAGTCTATCTTTAGCTCCTAGTTTCAACCACTTAGAGAAACTGGTACATTTGCTATAATACCACATGCTGTAGGTATTTTCGCCTCTTTACAAAATGAAGAAAGGAGTGTGACTATATTACAATATTTTGATGACAATCCATCTGGCAGTGTACGAAGAGCTGGAGCAGGATTAAATATTACGCCAACTACAGTATGGAGAACTCTCATTGCAGATGGACTTCACCCATATCAACGGGTATAAAATTTATTACCACAAGATTTTCGGCAAAGAAGAAATTTTTCAGATTAGTACTTAAATCAAGTTGAGCATGATTCCACATTCCAGTCAGACTGATCAAAGCCGCACTGCCATCAATTCTTCTGATCGTTTATCATATCTATAATTATTCTCTTCAAAATGCTACCTTCCCTACATCCTGGAAAAGCGCCCTAGTACACCCCTACTAACCCATCAGCTCTTAATGATTTCCGTCCAATTTCGCTTCTTTTAAACCTCTCCAAACCTTTAGAATGACTAGCCCAATCCCAGCTATTCCATTTTTTAGAGCACAATAATCTCCTAAACCCCTACCAGTCTGGCTTCAGACCTGCCTATTCTACTCAGTCTGCCTTAATCAAAATTTCCCAAGACCTTCATACCGCTATAGATCAGCAGAAACTAACCATCCTTATTCTTCTTAACTTCACTAAAGCTTTTGATTCAGCAGACCACAACATCCTTCTAACCAAACTTAAAAATATATCCTATTCCTCTAGGGCCCTTAATTGGTTCCAATCCTTCCTTCGCACCCAGTATGTTGTAATCCCTAATAGCCCTCCATCAAAATCTCTACCCTTGTCCAGCGGTGTCCCACAATGCTCTTCCCTATCCCCCACCCTATTTCCATCTATATAAATGACCTCCCATCTTCAATCCTGCGCTGTCAATACCACCTGTAAGCCGACGACATTCAGATTTACCTCTCCTTCAATTTGACCGATTCCTCAGATGCCATTCTAAAACTCCAAGAAGATATTAATAGAATAAGTGATTGGGCAAACCTCAACAGACTCACTCTGAACGCTGAGAAGACAAAAGCCATCTTGATCGGATCCCCCTCACTCCTCAAATCCTACCTGGTATCTCCCAATCTCCTCCTGAACAACTCACCTATCATATTCCACACCACCGTTAAAAACCTAAGTGTTACTTTTGATCAAACCCTATCCTGGAAACCACACATCTCCCAAATTTCCCGTCGCACTATCTCAACCCTAAAACAGTTCAATCGTCAACGATATCTCCTTCCATATAAGTCCTATCAACTCCTAGTTTCCTCTCTTGTTTTCCTCTCTTTCAACAATGGATGTATGGTGTACAGTGGACTCTCGGGAATTTCGAGGCCAAACTTAAACGCCTAATGAATTGCCCATTATGTTTTGTTTTTGGAATCTCAAGAGATACGCATATTACCCAGCATTACACCAAGTTGAAGTGGCTCTATCCATCCTATCGCCGTCAGTACTACCAAGCTACCTTTCTGTACCAGATCATTAGAACTCATCGACCCTCCTATATTTTTCACAGCTTACAATTTAAATACTACATCCAATCCCGTCCGACTAGATCTCGTACTTCCGACCTCTACCTCTATCTATATTTGCAATTCAAGCCGCCTCGTACTGGATTTCTCAATTCGCCTGATTACGAAATATACCTAAGAGTATATCTAAGTACCCCCAGAAAATATTTCTGTTATTTTAGTTTTCTCTGTTTGTATTATATTTATGTACGTTTTTCCTGTCCTTTTCTCTCTCTCCTGAATTTTTACTTTTAAATAACTAATATTTTAAATATTTACTTTATTTATGACCACATAAACATGTATTCAGTTCAAAAGGGACCACAGTCCCAGAATAATAAAATATATTTTCATTCATTCATTCATTCATTCATAATCCACAATTTTCAGGAAAAATTCTCTGGTGAAGCTACTTTTTCAAGAGGTATCTTCCATCAGAAAAATAATCACCTCTGGTCATAGGAAAATCCTCATGCAATTTGTGAGCATCATTTTCAGTGCAATGTGTGGTTGGAGATAATAGACAATATTTTAATAGGTCCGCATTTCTTGCCACCTCGACTCAATGCCAGGCACATTTCTGGAATTTCTCAATAATGATTACTATGATTTAATTGAACATATTCCACTACAACTGAGAAGGGACATGTGGCTTCTATTTTTAGGCACCACTAGATTTTTTTGTTTGGGGTGACATTAAACAAAAAGTTTTGAAAAGTCCAGTCAATGACCTTAATTCCTTACAGAGAAGGATAATTGAATCTTGTGAAACAATAACACATATCCAATGCCGTTCTGCCACTGCTGCTGTTGAAGAAAGATGGCGAGCCTGTCTTAATGGTCAAGAAAATCACTTTAAACAACATTTAATATGAATTTAATGTTTACATTTAATTAATAAAGTAGTTGGAACAAATAAATAACTGTTATTTACTCTTAATATAAAGTAAATAATTTATAAAAATGAAAATCTTTAATTGTGAATATTTCTAAACAAAGCGTTTACGGGCATACCTTCATATGAATTTTTTTTCTTGTTTTGAGGTCCTTAATTAATATTTTCAGTTTAGCCAATTAACCCTGAAACACCTTGTATATAAAACATCATACAATTAATGCAATAAATGTCAGTATTTGGAGTAAGAAAATAAAACAAAAAACAAACTTACGTTATTAATAAGAATAGTTGGAATAAATGATACTTCGGGTGATAAAGCATTAGTTTTATCACCATTCAACTTAAGAAGTTCATCACCTTCTTTTCCTTTAGCACACTGTGAGATTGTATCCCAATCAAGGTCATATTCCCTGGAACACTAAAATGAAACAGTAAATGAATTATAATAAGTAAGCTTACTAGTTAGTAGGTTAAATTATATAACCCCTGCTTAAAAAAAAAAAGCTTTCAAAACAATAAGAATGTATACTCAGTTTGTTGTATATTATATAATTCTATTGTATTCTATGTAAAACAAACAACTCTTGTTTTTATAATATTTTTTAGAAATATATTTATTGAAATTTACGACTATATTGGTTAAAAAATACAAGTAAATTTGAGTTAGTAATATGACATATACAACATCAAGAGAAACTACCCATTTGTAGCATTCCAATTATAGTTTCCTATTAGAATGTCCCGGGACCATCTTCTTCTCAGAAGTCTCCAAGGATTATCAGGATTCAAAGAGGAAGCAAGTTTGGAAACAAGAGGGTTCAGATGGTTCAGAAGTTTATTATGGAAGGATAGGTATATGGATTAGGCCAAATCGGACACAAAAGGGACAATAAGGTCGTTATGGATGATTTTATTAATGATAAAGTAAGGAGCATTGAGGATTTTGGATTGTAAGGATTGGATACGATAGGAATTAGATGGCTTAGTAGAGCCCTAAAGCTCAAACCCGTAAGTCCAAATAGGCCTAATTATAGTCATGCATGAGTCTTTTATAATTAATTGGAAGTTTAGAGCATTTGTCTTGTAAGTACTAAAGTAGCCAAAAATATCGAGCGGTTTCTTGTTTTTTCAGTCTGGTATAAGGATTCCAAGTTAAATGTTTGTCCCAGTGGAGTCCTAGGTATCGGATTTGTTCAACAAGGATAAGTAGGGTATTATTAAAGGAAACCGTAGGACAGGAAGTCGATAGGTTTACGGCAAAGGGTAAAGGGTATTTGACAGGATTTATTGTAATTTATTTTAATCCTCCAATGTTGACACCATTCTTCAAGACTCGTGATGTATGATTGAAGAGTTTGGGATGCAATAGCTGGGTCATTATTAACTGATAGGACACATGTATCATCAGCATAGGTGGTGATGACAGTGTTGAGATGGGTGTCAGCTGTATAAACTGTGTAAAAGATAGGACCTAGGATATGTAGTAGATGGTCTCTAGTATTTACTCCTTTATGTGGCATTAAGTGAGGGAATAAACAAGGAATGTATAGGAATGTAGGGTTGCACTATGAATTGTACTCAATTAAGCAGTGGACAAGTTGTTTATTGAAAAGTATCTAATCGATAAACAATCAACGAAAAAGGTACAGAACAGAGAAAGGAAGAAGCCTGGAAAAGTGCTGGTTGGTGGCAGCAGCTAAAGAAGGACACTGGGAGAATAAAGAAAACACTTGTTGCCAGGAGAGGAAGAAGGAAGGAGGTTACCTTAGAAGAGAAGCCTACTACACTGAAGATTAAGAATATCAAGCCTAAAGTTATAGCACTTCAATAGATTTATTTATTACAGTTGTCAAAATAAATTGTTTTGTTATACAGGAGTGAAAAGTCCTTTAATTTAGTTATTCTATATGCCTCATAATCGAAGAATAACAAACCAGGTGAGTCAATTCATTAAAGTGTGTTTACTAAGTCCCACAGACTACTGGAGGCAACTCACACCGACCGGGTATAGGACTCATCAGTCCCTACCCCCATTTATTTAATCTGGAATCGGGATGTGGTCTAGAAGACACAGAAAGATCTACAAGGTCTATAGCGCCAACAGAAAAAAAAAAAAAAAAAAAAAATATATATATATATATATATATATATATATATATTTATATATTCTTATTATTTCTTGTCACAAAAGCATTAGTTTCCCGAATTCCCAATGATTGTTAAACACTCTCAAAAAGTTTATATCCAGCGCCGGGGTTTGGTTTAAAAAAAAATTAAATTCACGAGTGTAAATAACCTAGACCCACGACAAAATGGAAGGAATATTTACAGATACTACCTTGAGGAACAGCAGCAGACTGGAATAAAAGGGATGAATAGGCATTGCTACATTTTGGCTAGTAAGCCATTTTCAAGCCATCTTTAAGACAAACACTATTAATTTCATACACTGCTGCTAATTCGCATTCTATGATGGTGGTATTAGTCATATTTAATTTAACATTGGTCAATAAGTCAATTTATTAATTTGTAAATCTATTTGAACCACAAGATAGAATGAGGTTATTTTTATATTTAAAATTGGATATACTAAGGTAAGATCATCAGACATCAATTATATTAAATTTTAAATTTTAACACCCTTACTTTATTTAATCATAACACGTATAACATGCTTATAACATGTAATCCATAATTGGATTAAAGTCAAGTGTAAGTGTGGTTGGGAGGTGCAGGAAGCACAACAGTATATTTCATTGTCAACAGTATGAAAAGAAACACCTTAGCAACTTGGAAAACAAACATGATAAAGAAGAACAAAAAATCCAATAATAGCAGAAATATATTGATTAATCATCCAGCAAAAATGTAAAAAATAATTAAATAAATAATAGAGAATCCCAACACACAAAACCAAAATTTTATTGCTTAACACAAATTAATTGTCTTACTGACAAAATAACCAATACTTTCAAAAATATGACTTAGCAGATTTAAAGTTAAGAAGAAAATCAAAAAACAAAATTCTAAACATTTACACCAAAAATAAAGACAAAATAAATAAAATTGAAAAAACAGACATCACATACAAAATAGATTGTAAGGAATGTAGAAATAGTAATAGTGGAAATAAAAATAGCACATATTATATAGGACAAACAAAACAGAACTTAAAAAATAGAATCAACCAACATAAAAGCAATTGCAATTCTAAAATAAGAAAATATAACACCTGCACAGGACTATCGACACACAGCACCCAACATAAACATAATTTTGACATTAATAACACTAAAATATTAATAAATGAAAAAAATAGCTTTAAACGAAAAGTTTTAGAATCAACTTACATCTCCAAAAATCTGGATACAGTTTGTAATTTTCAGGCAGATACAAAAGGATTAAACAGTACATATGTCAGTATAATTATAAAATTGAAATTTTAATTACACAAACATTTTAATAATAATCCTTATAGGATGAAGAATATAAATAAAAATATAAAAATGTGCAACCTCCCAATCACACTTACACTTGACTTTAATCCAATTATGGACTACATGTAATAAGCATGATTAAATAAAGTAAGGTTGTTAAAATTTAAAATTCAATATAATTGATGTCTGATGATCTTACCTTATTATATCCAATTTTAAATATAAAAATAACCTTGTTCTATCTTGTGGTTCAAATAGATTTACAAATTAATAAATTGACTTATTGACCCAATTAGGGTTATAATTCATACAATGTTAAATTAAATATAACTAATACCACCATCATAGAATGTGAATTAGCAACAGTGTATGAAATTAATATTTTTATCTTGCAGATGGCTTGAAAATGGCTTACTAGCCGAAATGTAGCCCATGTAGATGTAAAAGTAAAATAAATGTGGTGAAGTAAAAACACAGCCTTATTTTATATTATTATAAATACTTCACCTAAAACAAATAAGTACACATAAAATTAAAAGAACTATAGAAGAAAATAAAAATAATGTTTTTTATGTTTTTTTAATTACAAAAGGGTTTTTCAGAATAAGAGTCTTTTCTGATAGTTACACCTTAAGGATCATTTTGTATCCAGCATTCTGGTAAATAAAATTAGCGAGCTATTAATTTCCATTCGGGCAGTAAGGAACATACTTATTGAATAAGTACCAAGAACTATGTGTTCCCATCTTCACCAGAGGTCACAAAAAAAAAACGATTTGAATTTGCTCATAACACATTGGTTAGAGTTTAGATGAGTAGAAGTGAGTTCAGGATATAAGTCATTAGATAACTATGTTTTTATTTATGAAATGAATGGTATGATCAATTCGGTATGACACCACATTTTGTATTTCCAGGAAACTTACCCATGTTCTGGGGTGGCATTTCTTCTGATATTTATACCGAATCAGTGGTTGTGTAGAGAAAATTCTTAAAAGCTCTGAGGTTTAGGAAATACTGAGAGAAACATTCCCAAGTGCCATTTGGCTCTGAGTAATAAACTGTTGAAGCAAGACAGTGAACAACCACACTGAGCTCTGAGTGTAATTCTTTAGGAGTTTAGCATCATATTCCTGGATTGTTACTTTGGCATCATATTCAAGATCTCAATCTGATAGAATAAGTTAGGGTTTTATTCAATCTTTTTGTGTTTAACCCAAATTTCTTTTCTAATAATGAAGAGAAGAATAGTTGGGATAGTCAGTTAAAAAAAAGAAGGCAAAAATAAATGATAATATTTATTTTTACATATGCCGACGTTTCGACCTGAAGTTCAGGCCATCATCAGGGCTGACTGCTCTAAGGTAAAGATGCAAATCTTTTCTAATACACTTAAAAAATTAAAAAATCCTTTTTTTTTTGAAAAGTTGTGCATTTTACTGCAAGAATTGGTTAATAATTTCTTTGTGGGCACAGGAATGTGACTGAATGTTGTAATTCACGGTAATAGCAGCAGCACAAGCTATAAAGTAAATTTTAATAGAAATTAATGTGTTTGCTATGCTTGTGAATTTTGGAATATTTTTTTTAAACTTTTCACTTTTCATTGTTCGTATCCATTTGTTTCAAAAAATGGCTCGGTTTCGTTTCGTTTCAGTTGCGATTTCTGCATGAAAATTCAGTCCATTAAATTTTTCACTGTTAATTCATATAGAATCCAAGTATTGAGCTTCTTTTGGTATCCAGTTTTATGTAAATGCTTCAAAGCTGTTTTCTGATCGATGCTAAGTTCTGTAGCGATGTCACGAGATGAAATATTTAGGTCTACCTCATGCTAAGAATTTCATAGATTTTCTTATCAATTGACCAGCCAGGACGAGGTTCATCTTTAACATAAAAATTTCCAGGATGGAAACAAGCAAACCAATTCTGACACTGACTCGTTGTTAACATAATTTACTAGAATAAGAACATTAGCAAT